ACGCTCTTTATCGCCGATTCCGCTAGCATCGCTTTCATTCCTTCTCATGTGGAAAATGTATAAGTACACGCATTTGGCCAAAGTATACGTGTGTGTATGCTACATCGCATATATACGCGAGTTAGCTATTACAGGTGAAATTTATCCTGGCGTGTGTATCGAATTGTGGTGAGGTGCTTGTACAGTGTTTAGGCACATGTTCGCCGTTAAAACTGGATAACCCAAGTATCGAGGTGAGTGGAACGAGCGCGATTATCGTTGATCAAACGTCAAAGATCCTCCTTTGCGCAATTACTCATTTATTGCGCGAATTCATCCATTATTTGCCGTATCATTATTTGACGATTTTTCTCATACACAAAATTAGGAGTAGATAGATCTTATGATATCGCTCGTATCCTAGTCTATACATTATAGAGTAATTTCGTAATGTGCATGAATATACCATTAACACGCCTGTAACGAGCAAGCAAGCGAGCGTGCTTTGCGATAACGCATATGCTAGAGCTAGATCCCATCAATATGACCAGCGGCGATACATTGATTATGCGAACTCGCAAATTGCGAGTGTGTATCCCGATGGTGCGCGCACGTTTTCTCTCTCTCTCTCTCTATCCTGCTTTATTAAACTTTCGAAATTACATTGTGCGGCGCGCAAGCTTGAGAGTGTCCCATTTTTTTTTTTGGACCGACAAAGCCTCTCATTGACAGCGCGACGATTTGCCGCTCGATAATTAATTAGTCGAGAGCAAGATTTTTAACCTATTGTAACTGGCGCGGAAGATTTCTCATTAGAACGATGGGATATACGCTCTCAACATTTCAAATGATGTTTAAATCCTGCTTTGCAGTGCAGATCGAGGCGCTTATATCCTGAACTTACCTATTATCCCCTAGAAGTGACCCGTTAGCCGCTTACTAGCAAGTTATCCGCTTCCCAGGTTGATTTAGGCATGCGTTCTGAGTTTTGCGTCTCGCTTGTCGCTAGAACTCTTTTCTGCTCATGCTGATCTGCGAAAACAGAAATTATTCTATAAGCGAGCGTAAATTGTCATTATAAATAGATATTTATTTAGCAAAAATAATTTGCGTATTGTTCTGTACGATATCACGAATAATCTTATTAATAAACCTTTTATTCGCAGCACATACAATGTAAAATATATTTTATATATTCTATATTTCACTTTTTTCCTCTATTACCCCGCCTCTTGCATTCTATATAGGATTTTATTATATTTTAATAAATCTGATAAAATGTTATGCAAAAACTTTCAAAAAATATAATATATTTTCTTATATTACACAACAATTCTATATAATATTTTATAATATTCTATGTGAATCAAGCAAGATTAACAATAAAAGAAAGTTCCCATTTTCAGAAGACGAATTATTCTTTCATGCGACTTAAAATCTCGTAATGCACGCAGCGGCAAAAACTAAGTACGCCGTTCTTTAATAATTGCGAACTTGCAGAGTCCGTCGCGAGCACGAAACCTCAATCCGCTGGCGAAAAATTTAATCCGGAAATTTCGGTTCTTCTTGGTATTTAGGTCGAGCTGCACTTTTACCGCACGTCCAATATTTCCGAACGTATGATACGCGTGTGACGCGCGTGCACATAGAGTGTTACATGAATCTCACCATTGAAAGCTTTGCATTTCAAACTATGGTAAAGCTTTACGGTGTGTAGCGAAAATTGTGAGCAATTGTCGACAGTAAGATTTAATCACTTCAAAAAGCAAACATTACTAAATGCTTTGTACAAAAGCATTAGTAAATATAATATTCTATATAGAATTATTTTTATTTTATAAAGTATTATTTTTTTGTAAAGATTTTAAAAATAAAATTTAAAAACATAGTTTGATACAATTTTCTATCACGTTATAAATACTGTGCAATAAAGCAAGATTATTAATAAAAGAAAGAATATTTAAAATGTATTTATCATATTTCTCGATTTTTGCAGATACTAAATATTTCTCTTGAAAACAATTTATATAGTGAGTGCCATATTTCTTAAATATTTATATATATAGCTCAAAAATCTCGTGCAAAGTACTTTCCTAATTTAAGCAATATTATATTCAAGTAATAGAAAAGAAATAAAATATTGTTTCATATTAATCGCATGATGTTGCCGCATTTCGGCTATCGGAGCCATAAATCATTAATTCGTGATAACTGGAAGTATCAGTAAGTACGCGGTGCATCTAAATTTGCGGAAAAGCATGCAGATGCGTGCGGTGGATCCGCTACATATTTAAAGCTGCCGCGCGGCAGCCTTTGGTGCTTAGATACGAATTAGGGATGGCGATCGCCTAGACATTCAAAGCTACACCTATAAACTCGGAGTATCCCAAATCGTGGAGAGTTGCCTCGCCGTTTTATCTCTCTCTCTCTCTCTCTTTCTCTATCTTGTACCATCTCCCGGACTCCCGGAGAGAGCCGGGGCTTTCCGGGGATTAACCTTACCCGCGACTCCGCGCCAGTAATTTCCAATTCGACTACCCGACCTGATCTCTGTGTTAATTAAACCCCTCCTCACCGGCTGTGTTCGATAATTCTCTTTCTCTCTCTCTCTCCCCCTCCCTTTCTCCCTCCTCTCTCTCTCTCTCTCTTTTTCTCTCAATTATATAAAGCTAAAAAGTTTTTAATCGGATGTAGTTGATTTCGAACGACTGGAGTCCATGGCATTATCGGATATGTATATGTGATACTATTATCGATTGCGATAATGACATTTATCAATGTAAGACACTTCTGATAAATGCAAGGTCGCTCTTTTTTAAATGTAATAATATAGGATACATCCTATACAAAATATAAATAAAGGAAAATATATCTCTCTAAATTAAATTATAACAATATAACGTTCACATCAATATGAATCCGTCGATAAATTGATTAATACATCTCATATATTCGATAACGAGAGATTTCAAACATGTTATAATTAATTTAGGATTATTTAGTTTAATCAGATTGATACTGTTCACTGTTGTTTCCTATTCCCTTTCTGCTTTAGCCACAGTATAGGCTGCAAATAGAAAGAGAATGTTTAATTACCTGTGTTTAGCCTGTATCAGATGTTAATACAATTGCTTACTTGGTTGCCAAACATATAAAACAACTAATATTTAAAATCAGAAAGATATCTCATAATATGTAGAGGTAATTTTAAACTGCTTACATTCAATTGTATTAACAATAAGCGTCTCTAATTGTGCTCTTAATCATGTAAAAATAAACAAAATTAAGATCATTGAAAAAAATCACTATGTAAATTAATTATTTAATGATTTAAAGTTATTAATGTTGAAATATGTTTATAAACGCTAATCTTTTAAGACAATCACCTATTCCATTTTAGAGATACAGAATGTGAAATCAAGTATTCTATTTTCCAGATAGTGTATTAAAACGTATATTATCATCAATGTCCTCATGTCTGTTAAGTTCGCATTACTCGTTATAATTAAGCGTCGCATTACGAATAAATTCCTACCGTTACCACGAGGCGCATGTTACAGTAACCGTAGAAATTTCCGGTGGAAACGATCCCTATCTCGGGATACTCATGCCATAGCGTTGCTCCGTAAAACCATTCAATTATCTCTAACCAATTTTCCTCGTACGACTCGTGATATGGCTATATGCTTGGTGATCATATTAAGATGTACGGCAAAAGACATCTCCTGCATATTCTTATGAGATAAAAACGACCGTTTCGCATCCTCTTCTTCTTTCTATTGCCTCGTATTTTCCTCTTACTTGTTCCCTCTTTTATCTTTTATTTTTTCGTTTTTCCTCTTTTTCTCGTTGCCTCCAGCTTCGTTTCTATTATATAATTCCTTCACTTATTTTATGCAATGCATTTTTCTCGCTGTCCTTCTGTTTTAAACCATCGCTAGAAAAAAATTTCTAATAATTCCTACGATTTAATTTTACGCGATTAATTTTCGTACAAGTTTGAAATAGACAGCTTTGTCCGGCTGTTCGCTTTATTACTCCGAGTTTTATCCCTTTCTCTTGTTAGAGATCCATAGTCAAGCGAGTGGATTTCCATTCTTTCGCCATCACATTCCGCTTTGCTTTTACCCGCGAATTTTGCTTGTTGCTTTTTTCTCACCACATTTCTACTTGTCGCGTTACTCATCCTTTATTGCGCATTCGCATTTTGCATTAAATATGAATGGCTGGCTCAATTTTACTTGATGTATTATAAAAATTGTGTTGAAAGATTAAAAGTCAGACAGATGCGTGCAATGTTAAATGCTATATTGCTGTAAGTTTTTATCTCTGTTCTTTATTTGCTTGCCCTGTGTCTCTCTTATCTGGTTTTTAACATTTTTCTTTGCAACATTCTTTGTTCCGCGTTTCAGTTTCGTTCTTCAACGCCACCCTCTTTGAATTCTTTGATATGTTATTCCCGCCTCTTCGTATTCTCGCTGCCATTTTCTTGCCCGTTCGCGCATCTTCAATTTTTCATTTCTCGATCGAATGCTCTTTCGTTTTCTGACATTTGCGTTTTCCTCGACCGTTATTTCTTTTATTTTCCAAGTTTCTCCTCGTCGATTCGTCTCTTCATCCAATTCGGTAAGTTGATAGTTCACAATCGCATAGTTGCACGCGAATTCATTCTCTCACTTTGTCGCCTTTACATCTGCTTAACAGCAAAATCTCTTAGTAGTGAGAAAATAGAAAACAGATATGTGTACCTATCGACCTAATTTTTATCTATTTTTTGCAATGCATTGAGTTCTAAGAATATAGATTAAAAAAACTTAAATAGAAAAACAGATCTCTTTTTCTCCCTCCCTCTCTCTGTCTCTTTCCTTTGAAATATTTTATTAATATTTTATGTTTAAGATTTTTAAATAATTAGTTATTGTATATGAGTTGTAGGTAAATACTATCCTACTTTATAATAGCGAAAGAGAGAAAGGGGGGGGGGGAGGGGGAAGAGAGAGAAAGAGAGAGAAAGTTAAGAGATTTTTTGAAACCAACACAGCGCACGGCATAAGTGAAAGTGATTCAGCAGCGCATGCCACCGCGCGCGGCCAGGTACCCGACGCGGAGTGGAGGGTGCCGCCTGAGAGGTCTGCACGAGTGAGAGGGAGGGAGGGTCGAGTAGCACGCGGTCGCGGCAGAGAGCAGGCGGACGGATTGCCGCTGGTATTGCCGCGGTCGAAGATACCGGTGGGAGAGGGGGGAGGAAGGGAAGGAGGGAGAGCGGTGAGAAGGAGGTTGCGCGACCGATGGCGGGGGGGGGATGACCTACTTACGGAACCAGGTCTATGTCGGCCGGAGAAATATTGTCCGCGAGCATGCGAGAGCGTCGTCGACGTCGTCGTCGTCTC